AGAGGAGTCAGAGAGGCTGCGCCAGCAGGGGCTGTGTCTGTAACTGTAGCATCGGCATCACGTTTGACATCATCATACCTGGTTGAAAAAAAAAGGAGGGGGGATTTCAAAGCGGAGCGCCGGCTGAGCTGAGAGCCGACGCCAGCCAGCCGCAGCGCAGCGCAGCCCGCGCCCGGGGAGTTGCAGACCGAGGAGGCAGAATCCCGAGCTGTCCCTGCCACCTCTCTCTCCAAGGGTGGAGAGCAAGAAGAGGAGGCCGGGGTGTCCCTGGGGAAGGTGGGATGGGAGAAGACGCGAAACTCTCCGGTTACAAGGCCCGCCGGCTCAGGTGTCTAAAAGGGAATTTGGCCACAGAAGGTCTTTTTCTCCCCTTGCCTCCCACCCGGGGGGCCTGCGCCGCAGCCCTGACAGCTGGCTTCCTACGAGTTACGGTTCTACCATCATGGGTGGCTTCCTTAAAACAAAGCCTTGTAACAACTGGCAGCCTCAGAGCTATTGCTCCCCAGCCCCGGCCTCATGCTCTTTTCAAGGCAAGTCCTGGGTCCTGAATGGGCTGGTGAGACAAGGGCAGATGTCCTCCTCCCCAAGCAGCTGTTTAGGGGCTGTCACCCCTTTTGTTAGCTCTTCCTAGGGCAACCTTAAAAGGCCAGTGTCTGGGCATTTCATCTACCTGAGGCTGCAACTCTGGAAAAGGCACATTTGTTTAGTTTGGACCTCACTTTGGTTTCCATAAGACCGTGGGGATGGGGTGAGGTGGGAAGGGACTGGTTTTGTTGGAGGGGTTTAAGTTTTTGTTCAATCTGTGACTCTCATCATTGTCTGTGGAGATGTTGACATCCCAGGTTCAGAGACTGAAGGTTGGGCACAATCCCAGGATCACAGCAGAAACAGAGTGAGGTTTACATTACAAATAAATAGAAGAGGAAACAGATAATCTGACAGGACAAAACAAATTGAACTTTTGAGACCCAAGCCCCAGATTGTGTTTTTATAAAAGACTTGGCTGCTGGCTGTGATCTTAAGAAAAAAAAAAAAAATCAAAGGCAATGAAATATGTGATCTTAATCAGTAGGAAAAAACACAGGTTACAAGATTGCCAGTCACCAGAACCTGGCCTGCTGGGAACTTTACCTCCGTGGCCTGGGGTGGGGGTCCCCCTGGGAAAACAGAAAACAATAGCTCCCTTCCCGTTTCCTGGCAGATTTAGTGGCAGTGCTGCAGCAGTGCCATATCCCCACCCTGCTGTAGAGGCGACAGCCCTCTCCAGGGCAGAGTGGCACTGTATAGCACAGCTTGTCTTCACGTAGGCTGGGGTGAGACCCATTTCCTATCTAAACATTAATGGTGATACCATCTACCTCCTCAGGCTGCTGGCAACTTCAGCAAAAGTAATTATGCCTGGGCATAATGAGCATTTTTAAAAAAATGTTACTTCTTCCCTCAGATTGGAAAGAGAAGGCTCCAAGGTCCCTTAGGTCTAAACATTTGCCAAAATGTACCACTTCCCACCCCCCCACCCACACACCCTCCCCGTCTCAATCCTGGTCTTTTAGAAAAGCTATCTCCAAAGCATGGAGGAGATAGAGCCCAAATGCCATCACTCCCTGGTTCCAGTGTAATTTTAGGAAGCCCGTGGTCTGTTAGTTTCAAAGCCATTCAATGATGAGCTTGGAAAAGCACTGGTAAGACACCTGTCAGGAAGACCTGAAATGTATGCAGGCCACACCCTTCACAGCTCCTCTGAGACCAGCTCCTACAGCACCTCTGAGCTGGGTCAATATTGGCCCAGTGCTGAAAGTAAACCACCACAGCCCAAGCCTGTTAGCCAAAGGTGAAGCTCTCCAGACAAGAGAAACCAAATCTCCAGATGACAGGTTTAAGGATTGTAGGAAATGGCCAATAATTTCAGTCTGTAAGAAAGGGTTTCTTGATATGAGAGAATTACTGGCAAGGAATTTGTATTTGCAAATCAGTGGTCCCAAACCTCAGATGCTGCTGGACGAGTTTGTCAAATGGTGCATATGCTGATGCACTTTTGTTAGCATTTCATATGCAACAGTAAGTGAAGAGAAATTTTGGGTTTTGATAAGAAATCTAAATTTAACTAATCTTGAAAACCATTTAATCCCATGTCTAGAGGATCCCACAAGCACAAAAAGATAAATGCACAGATATTCAGTCCAGAATTGTTCATAATACCAAACCTAGAAACCAACTCCCATGTCCATTAATCAGGAAACAATTACACTTAAAAGTGTGTCTACAAATAGGGTGTAGTGATGTACGCTAGCTACTAGGGAGGCTGAGGCAGGAAGGAGGATCTCATTTGAGGCAACTTAGCAAGACCCTGACTCAAAACAAAAAGGGCTGAGGACGTAGCCCAGTGGAGAGTTTAATGCCTAGTGTGGGAGGGGTGTGTGTGCAAAAGACTACTGTGAAGACATTTAAAGAAGAATCTACAGATCTGCATCTGCTGACAATCAATGTGATCAACGACATATTCCTGGATGTGCAAGCTCATTATGAAAGATCAGGTATCTGAGGCTGGGGATGTAGGTCCACGGTAAAACACTATAATGTACTAGGCCCTGGGTTCAGTCTCCAGCACACAGGAAATAAAAAGATCACTGTGTTAATATATGAGCTAATCAATTCCTAAAGAGGAAGTTTATTCTGGCTCCTGGTTTCAGGGGCTTCAGTCCGTGTCTGTGTGGGTCTGCTTCTTTGGGTCTAGGGGACACCATCCATGAGAACCCCCACAGAACTTTATGTGAGTTAAGATATACATTGATAGTTAATGTACTTAAAAAACTAAGAATTTTTAAATTTTTATTAATTTAAAAATAACAATGTACCCATTAACAAAAATAATATATTTTATGAGAAACAAATATATCCTGCCCCCATTAGAACATGGCACTGTTTTTACATTTTCTCCTCTATGCCTCGTTCAGCAGGAGCCAGCTGGATTCCAGATTGTGCATGACAGCAGTGTATTTTGTTATCAGGGCTGACACAAAATGGACCGCAGACCACGCAGCTTCAACAACTTTCTCTTAGTTCTGGAGGCTGGTATTGCAGTTCAAGACCTGAGTGTCTTGTTCTCTCCTGAAGCCACTGTCCTTGGCTTGCTGATGCCCCCACCTCCCCATGTCCTTGCACATGGTTCTGGCACACTTTTGTCCTATGTCTCTTTCTGTTCTACATTTCACCCTCGATAAAGGATTCCAGATTGGTCAGGGGCCCTAGCAGCTCATTTTAATTTACTCACACTCCCCTCCCCACCCATCTCCAAATACAGTCACATTCTAAGGCACTGGGTGGTTAGGATTTCAACACAGGAGTTCTGGAGGAGACCACTTAGCTCAGAACAGGTAAAGATGCAAACAGCCAGTAAGGGTAGAGTAGAAAGACTGAGGGCAAACAGTGAAATCTCTGAAAACACACATTTATATCCTAAACCTACCATTTACAAAATTCTACAGAACACAAGACACAAGTGAACCAAGATCTGTCATGTAAAGGTACAAGATCCCAATGATGAATGTAACCGTACTATATACCTAAAATGTACCAATAAACTCAATGAGGGGGAAAAAAAAAGACACAAGTGAGTTATTCTATTAACCAAGGTCACACAGCCTGTGAGGGAGAGGAAAAAGGGCAAATGACACGTTCTTATTCTTATGAAAATAGTCTGGACCTCACAGATTCCTCCCTAAAAAGTTCTCAGGGAGCCTCAGGGCACAAAGTCCACAATTTGAGAACCACAGATATAAACTGTGTGACCCTGGGCACATTTCTTAAAGTTGTTAAGCCTTGATTTATAAAACCAGGATAATTATACCAATTAAGGGGATTGTTATAAAGATTGAAATAACACATAAATACGTGAGAAGTTGGCACATTTCATTTATCTTAGCTGTTGTTATTTGTGCAAAATTACTTCACTTTTCATATTAGATATGTGCTTAAAAACAAACAAGTAGTTATCTCTGGGTGACAAAATTCACTTAAGTAAGCATTTAAATTGAAGTTGATCATATACACAGAGACACAAAGCATCAGACATGTAGCTTGATGGTTTTACACACAGTTAACTTATTTTATCTTTAAAAATTTTTTTACAAAAAAAGAAGGCTATCATGGCTCTCCTCATGATAGCTCACCCTGTGTCCTCTGGGGTGTGCTTTTATCTTTTTCTCTTCTTTTCGGCCCAAAACTCTGCAGAGCCAGTTTCTTCCTCACTTGTAATTTTTACTTTTCAAATAAACTTTGTCATGTTTTCTCCTCGCTTCATTTAATTCTTTGTTCAAGATGAGAAGAATGTGGAATCCAACTCCAGAAGGAGAGGCAAGCAACCCAAAGCTCAAACTGAAAAGCATCTGGTGAGAAGGTTTAGATCAGATGGAAAACATCTGGCCCACCTGCTGTGAGAAGGTATCCAACACCTGCATGAGAAGAAACCTGCTGACTTGGGGTGACCCACCAACACCTATATAAACCATGCCTAAATCAGCTTCCCAGCATGACTTTGTTTCGTTTTTTGAGACAGGGTCTCATTATGTAGTTCAGGGTAGCCTTGAACTCACTATGTAGCTCAGGCTGGCTTTGAACTAGGAGCAATACTCCTGCCTCAGTCTCCTGAGTGCTGGGATGACAGGCATGTGCCACCATGCCTGCCTGCAAGATGGACTTTAGATAAGGTTCCTCCATTTTGTTGACTAGCTGGCTTTTTGAATAAAGTCATTTTCCAAGGGAAGGAGAGGGGAAGGGAGCGAGACTACATAGTGAGACCCTGTCTCAAAAAAAAAAAAAAAAAGAAAAGAAAGTTTAGGGCTGGGGATTTAGCTCAGTGGCATAGTGCCTGCCTAGAAAACATGAGGTCCTGAGTTCTATCCCTAGTTAAAAAAAAAAAAAAATCAAAGGAAAGAGAAAGGTGTTAATATGACTCAACAGCACCATTTCCCACCTCAGTAGCCACCCGCTGCAACATGGTACTCCTGCAGTGCAGGGGGAGCTCTGCTGACTCTGCACCTTTGCTGCCATCAAGTTTCCTTCAGCTCCAGGAAAAGGGCACGGAGCCCGATCACAGGCTGAGCGCTGGCCATTACAACTCTGTACCCTGTTCAAGAAACCCAGGGCCTCAATGAAAACAATCATTCTGAGTAATATTTATACTGTAGCCACTATGAGCAAGGAGTTCACTCTACACCTTCCAGGAAAAAAAATCAAATTTATTTTCCATCACAAAGTTCCTTGCATTAGCAACAAAGATTCTGCAAAACAATAGTAGTGGTGGTAGCCCCCCACCACACACACTCTCTCTCCCTTTTTTTAAGCTATGTAGCCCAGGCTGGCTTCAAACCTGCTGAAATCCCCCTGCCTCCCAAGTGCTGGGATCACAGGCATGAGCCACCATGTCTGGCTTCCCTGCCTGTTCTTAATGCAAATGAGGGTGAAGTCAGTGCCTGACAAGCTGGCTGGAGCAACTTTAAGGTACAATGAACTATTTCAGTGGAGAACGAATTGCATAGTGGTAACATTAAACAAGATATGTTTAGAAATACAGTAGCAAATATTTACCCCATTACCATGTGATAAAAAGAGACCTTGAATTGTTTTTTCTTCTTCTTTTGGTGGTGAAGGGATGAAACCCTGGGCTCTGTACACTCAGCAGCAGGACCCTGAATCTGCAAAAATTATTTCTGGTCCATCCAAAGGTACCTGCTTCCTACCATTGCTGGTTTTTCAGAAAAGTTCTACATCAAAAGAACCTGTTGCTCACTGCATTTTCTTTAGTGCTACACTGCCCTCAAGATTTGTCTACATTTTCAGAAGGAAAACTTAAAAGATGAATGAAAATTTTTCCCAATCCTACCAATACCTACCAAACACAAGGATATACATGCATGCAGCCACTAGTCACCCGAGTGAGGGTGTCACCATGCCACGGAACCTCTGGCGACTACACTGTACAGTTGTGAGAGGATGAGTAAAATGGCAGTAACTTGGGAAAAGTTACTATGAAACAGCTGCTATGTGTACAGGGAACAGTCACCTCTGCATTCTAAATAACAGAATTTCTAGTTCTATTCAGAATTTAGTATTTGATATGTAATGTTACATTTTCCAAAAACTAAAGCTAAAAACAAAATGTCCTGTAAGCCTAAGTCATAAATCTGACGCCCCAAAGAAGACCTCTTTACCCCTGGCCCATGAGAGGACACAGGAGACAGGCAGCACTGTGTAACATGGGGCACCGAACGCCAGGTCGGGTCAGGACTCAGGCATCCCGGGGCGCAATCGGTCCCAGGTGCTGTCAAACCAGCTGAGGTGAGGTGACATCGCAAATGAACAACGTGGTACTGTGAAACCTCAAATTATAACACAATTCCACCAAGAGAAAGCAGAGGTCCTTAGAGGGAAACTGACCCTGAAGGCACCAACACGTAAATCCCACATGAGAAGCGACACCTATGCCACACACGGACTAAAGCGTGTGACAACACTAGCAGCAAGCATGGACGCTGTGGAGATACATTTATTCACAAGTGATCTGTGCGGTCTCACTGAACGCCAGACACCATCCTTACAATTCGGCAACCTTCACACAGGTTCAAGGAAGAATCCAAGAACAGAAAGGAAGAATCAAGGTGGGAGTAAGGCACGGAGGAATGAGAAAGGAGAGCATGTGGGCAGGAGCACAGGAGGCGGAGGAGGTGCTGGAGCGGGACTGAGGGCTGCGGGGCTCATGTTCTTCCAGAACTTTCTGTGCAGTCCTGTGCACGACATGGTTTCTTTACAGACACCCTGAAAAATAAACAGAAAAGAGCTATAATACTGCAACTCCAGCAGGGGCACAGGAAAGTGGGAGTGGGGCTGGGAGGGAGGGCTGGAGCCCAATAAATATTTTAGGACCAACTTCAGAAGAAAATGGAGAGATCATACAGAATAACTGTTAAAGTCTGTAACTGTCTGATTAAAGTTCTTTAACTTTTTTTCTCAGTGCTGGGGTTTGAACCCGGGGCCTTCTCACTGAGCCACATTTCCCCCATTAAAGAAATCTTTAGAGAGGGTTTCCCTAAGTCATTTAGTTGCCTGAGATGGGGTTATACCCCTGATCCTCCTGCCTCAGCCTCTCAGAGTGCTAGGATTACAGGCAACAACAAACCCAGTAAATTCTGTAACTTTGTTATTTTGCTAAAGACAAAGCTCTAGGTAGTAAAGGTATTGAAAGCAGGATTTTTTTTTTTTTTTTTGGTACTGGGGATCGAACTCGGGACCCTGCACTTGTGAGGCAGGCAGCAGAACCACTGAGATAAACCCCCAGCCCAAAAGCGGGATCTTGAAGAGGTATTTGCATATCGGTGTTCATACCCACTATTCACAATGGCCAAGAAGTGGAAGCAACCCAAGCATTCACGGGGGATAAATGGATAAACAAAATGAGGGCCATGCATACAATGGAATATTATTCATCTCTAAAAAGGAAGGAAATCCTCTCACATGACATGGGTGAACTTCAGGGACATTAAACTAGCAGTCAAATAAGCTGGTTACACAGAGATAAACTGTGATTCTACTTATAGGATAGATTAAGGGTGGGCAAAATCATGGACAGAAAGTAGAATGGCGGTTGTCAGAGCTGAGGGGCGGGAGAAGGGGAGCTACTGTTTAATGGTACAGAGTTTTAAGTTTTGCAAGAGGAAAAGTTATAGAGATGGGTGGTGGTGACGGCTGAACACCATGCATGTGTTTAATAACACTGAACAGTGCATTAACAAACACTTAGGACGACCGTGTGTGGTGACTTGGGCCTGTAATTCCAGCAACTTGGGAGGCTGAGGCAAGAGGACTGAAAGTTCAAAGCCAGCCTGGGCAACTTGGGGAGACCCTGGTGGTGTAGTTTAGGGATAGGGCATTTGCCCAGCATATACAAGGACCTGTGTTTAATCCCAAACACCACACACACACACAAAAAGGTTAAGACAACAAATTCTGTATATCTCACTATGATAAAAAACTGAAGGAAAACCCCAGAACAAGTCCAGGATGAAAGGCACAGGCTCTCCTAGTGCCCACACCCTCTTGGTCTGGTGACCGTGGACAGTCATCAGAGGTGATGGTGAGTTCACGGGGAGCCACCCAGTAAAGTCACCAGCCCGATTTCCACAGTATCCCCATCCTGGGAATGAAAACCAGGAAACCAGGAAACCAGGACACTCTTCGTCAGTACCTGCTGAGGGTGTTCAGCGTCCAGGGGCCCCCAAGGTCCACCTCAGGAGAAGTCAATCTGCCCGCAGGAGGCGTAGTTCCCAAAGCTGTCCACGGTGAACCTCTGAGAGATGTGAATGGAATTGAGCTTCAGAGAGCCAAAGTGGAAGTTCTCAAACAACTGGAACGAAGAATGGGAGGCCGGCATGAGTGCCCCAAAGAATGAAGAGATGAAAATAGAAAACCACCACAACCCCACCAAGCCTCTCCTGTTCTTCCCTTCGGTATTTACTGTGAATAAGCATCCTGCAGAGGAGCAACAGGTGAGAAAAGAACAGCCAGCTCCGCTCTCCGATTAATTCTAAAGCCTCCCCTGACAAAAGGCACCAGAGAAAAAGGCCTGGAAAGTCAAGCCAAAACTGTCTATTGAGCAGCTATGGCCAAGGACGTGTGACAAGCATCCTGCAACCGCACGGACTCCCCTTCCTGACCTGCTAGGCCGCCGGAGTCCTGCTTTAATGGAGCTGGATGGAACACACGTAGGCAGCTCGTTAGGAGCACTGACCAACTCTGAGAAAGCTGGGGCTCCTGGCCCACAAATGAGGGGTGGGTCCAGGCCTGCAATGAGGGACACGTTCACTAAATGACAGAGTAAGTCTGAGCGATGTCATCAGAAACCTTTCATCCGAGTGGATTCAAACCCTTTTTACGACAATCTTCCACTTTCCAAGAGCTTTCAAACATTCCATGCTCCAGGAGGGACTTGAGCCTGTGATCAGCTACATGGCAGAATCGAAAACATCAGAATACATCCCAGGAAATGAAGGAACGCTGCTTGGCTAGGAGGAAAGGACTTACCTTCTTCTGTCAGGATTCAAGAACTGCTCTTCCTTAAAATGTCAGTGGGCTCCAGGAGAGCCCACTCGCCCTGCAGTGCAAGGCCTTGGGAGTGCTAAGAGCAAACTCTTCCATGAGTGACACACTCATTCCCAAGAAAGCCTCTCAATTCGTACCCAGCACTGCCCGAGTGGAACTTAAGGGCAGGACCTTTGTGCAATGGTGGTGACTGTCTCTTCATTTTTATACCACCTCCCACACCCAGGAACTTCAGCCACTGTCGCCTTTCCTCTTCCTGCAATTAATGGCCTAGAAAAATGCCTGAGGTTCATTAAAGGCTAACTTTACAAAGCCCAGTAAATATTGATTCTTCGACATGACACCAACCTGACCCCGAAGATCTATTTGGAGCTTGTGTGCTGCACTGTCTTGTCTTTCAGAGAAGGGACCAGCTCTTGCCTGCATCGATTCACACAATTAACTTCTCCTCCAGGCTCTGGCAGCCTGTTCAAACCACATCCCCTGTTCTGTAGAGATATCCAGCCCAAAACAGTTATCTCCTCTCCCTTTGCTGAACATTCGAAAGCCATGTCACTGAGACTGACAGATTTGTAGTTTGCAAACTGATACCTTCTCCATACAGCAAAGACATAACAAAGAAGCAATAACAGACAAGAGAAAACAAAACTAAAGGGAACTCACAATACTCTCCATGAGTACTTTTTAAAGACTGGCAGCCTATGAGTCCTCTACCACTTTCTCTATTTTCTGTGTTTCCAAGTTAACAGTCGTCACACTCATGCAATGGAAGGGACCTATGACTCCACCTTGCCTTCTGTAGCGACCTCCGAAAAGTAGGCTCTGCCACAGAGTCCTCTGCTTCCGGCTGAAAGCACACATGGTGATAATAAAGTTAGCTGGACATGATTTCAATGCAGCATCCACAAACATTAAGAGAAGGAACATTGGGGCTGGGGATTTAGCCCCAGTGGTGCTGCACCTGCCTCACAAGGGCAAGGTCCTGAATTCAATCCCCAGTACCACAAAAAAAAAAAAAAAAAAAAAAAAAAAAAAGAAAAAAAAAAGGAAAAAGAAATCCAAGAGAAGGAACATAAACTCTCCCAGTCTGCTAAGGCAGTGCAGGTTGGGAGAGGACTGCTGAGGTCAGTGTGACTTACGCAGCACATGGGAGCTGTCCAGCCAGGGCCAATGAGGTGGCTCATTGCACCAGCCTAGAAGAGGGAAAGATCTCGGAGGGCTGAGATCCAAAAGATGAACAAGGCATGAGCCCTGTGAACTGTAAAATGCTCCTGAAAATGGGGAACTTCTGGTGATGTTTTTAAGATCTCTCTGCTCTCCTTGACCTTGTATGTATTTTATCTACTGAGGTAACCGTCATCTTTCATATCTTTTGATAACATCAGAGCAAATGCATTTCTCATCCAGAAGTTCCCAGTGTAGTGCCAATCGTCCTATCAACCTTTCCTATCTGTGTTTCTGTTCTTTCTGAATGTTTGTGATGATTTCATATAATTTAGGAAGAATTTTTCGGTGATTTTATTGTTCAGTCATTGTTATATTTTTAATTATATTTTCTTTTAGTTCTATCAATTATTTTTAGTGACTCATTCAAATATAAGCCCTATGGAGCAAAGAGCTGAATCCAAGTATACGCTGTGAGAGCATCTAATAGTAGGCTGCCTGTAATGATAAATATGTATTGAACAAAATGAAAGCTAACACTAATATTGTAGATGTCTGTGTATATCTATCTGAAAAAACAATGACATGTGCTTGTACTTAGAAGTTACCATCAAAGAATCCCTGAACAAGACTTACTAAAACTATAATACCTCAAGTCTGGGTGCGAAGGACATATCTCTGTCCTAACTAGTTGTCAAGAACTTATTTGTGCTGGGATTGGAGGCACATGCCTATACTACTAGTACTTGGGAGGCTGAGGCAGGAGAATCACTGCAAGTTTGGGTGAGGCCAGCCTAGGCTACACAGTGAGTTCAAGGCCAGTCTAAACTATAGAGTGAGACACTGTCTAAAAAAAACAAAACAAAAAACAAAAACTAAAAACAAGAAATTATTTGCATAGCTGCTCGTGGTGGCATGTTTGTAATCTCACCACTTAGGATGCTGAGGCGGGAAGGCTAAGAGTTTGAAGCCAGCCTGAGCTACACAGCACAATCCTGCCTCAAAAGAAAACAAAACCCAAAACAGAACTGTAGACTGTAACGAAAATTTCATGAACTCCTTCAGATTCCTTCTTGTTCCTTATTTGTCACTTGGCTCCAGCCCTGAGGTGAGTGCACTGAGCATGTGCTATCCTGCAGTTTCGTAGCTCTGTGCAGAGCAGGAGAAAGGAATGCTGCGGACAGGGTGTGCCTGCCAGTGAACGGTACTGAGTGCTGTGCTCTGTGATCTGTACCCTCCTCCGAATGTGTTTTACTTAGATGAGAAAATGTACGAAAGAAGACAGACAGCAAAGGCTAAGTGTGGGATGAAAAGATGAAAGGTCCAGGCACTCGATAAATGCCATGGGAGGTGAGGAATCGTTGAGAGCTGAGGGCTGGCTCCCTGGAGGAGACCAGAACCGAGCAGGGCCTCCAGGCAAATATAGGATGAGGGTGGGCTGGGGTGTAGCAGTTCAGCTGTTTGGAGGGGTCCTGAAAAGAGGCGGTGAGAAAGACCTAGAGGGACAGACAGATGGAGGGGACCCTGCAGGTCAGACTCCAGGGCTGGACCTTTCAGCAAGATGGCTGGGCTGGTGTCAAGAAAAAGGTGAGGCCACCCTGGCAGTGTCCCTTACTGACAGCAGCGGTGCGAAGGATGGAGCAGATGGAGACCTGGAATGAGACAGAAGACTGGGGACTTTACGGAGCAGGAGACAAAATCGGGGCACCAGGGTACAGGAGGGTACCCTGACAGTAACAGAGCATTTCTGAGAAGGGGCGACTTAACAGGGGAAATATAGGCAGGTCTGTTTCGACCCTGTGGCCAGATCTCTCGCTGTATGTGTCCCACACCCTCTCCAATCTCTGGTCCTCCGGACAGGCTAAGAACAGGCATTAAAAACACAAAACCTGTAGCACTGTGAGGTGGAAATATAATTACTATAGAGAGCTTTACAACTGCCCATCTTTTCAGTGAGTTCTTTATATATTAGGGAAATGAACCCTTTGTCTCTTTTACAAATTGCAAATGTATTTCCCCCAGTTCATCATTTCTCTTTTGACTGTTCACTATGGAAATTACAATTTAAATTTTTAGGAACTTACATTTACCTAACGGGAGATTTTTAAAAACGAAGTGACTTAATGCCTGCTAACCTAATGTGGCTGTCTATGAAAAGATCCAGGTGAACCATCAACAAGTGTCAGTACAGACAACAGCACTATGAAAATAAAGTCTGACCTCAGCCTCAGGAGCCAGTGCAACAGCGGCCTGGGAGGCAGAAGTGATGTGGCCAAGGCACACAGCAAGCAGAGGGATGAGTTTCAGGACAGGCCATCTCAAGACCAGACAGTGGCATAAAAGGGCAGCAGAAGCAGGAAGGTCTCTTGCCTCCCACTGCCCCTCTCCCCTGGAGCTGCCACTGTGACCCCCGCTGGAGAGGTGCCTTCCATCTTTTCCCAGAGGAGAACATCATCGTGATCCAGGAAGGCATGGGGTGCAGTCTGAACCAACAGGCCTTCTGAATACTGGGGCTCTGAAGCCTGTACCCCAAAGGACAAGGCTTGGGAATGCTGAGTCACCCACCCGGTACCCAGAGTGGCTCTGCCAGGCCACTGTGCTCCTCGGACCTATTCACCTTCCAGAGAGGCATTTACGAACCACGGCCCATAGCGCAGTCGGCCTCCTCCTCCCCGAGCAGGGCCCTGAGCTTCTCATGGTGGACAGCGCCCACACAGGGAGGCAGTCTACTCGTTTGCGGGCTTTTCTCCTGCTCCTCTGTCCGCTGCAGTCATCTCAGCCAACTTAGAGACTCAAACCTTCATAGCGAGAGACAGAGATTCCCTCGGCCCTTCCACCGTTTCCCTTTATTATCCTTTTGCACTCCAACTAGATTTCTCCTCCTCTTCACCAGACTGCAGTATAAAAATCCAGTTTACTTGCTTCTCTGGCGCTTCATTTTTGGAGGCTTCTGTGCCGAGCAAAATTTTAACAAATTTGTATCTATTCTCTTACTAATAAGCCTTTTGTTACAGGGGCCTCCACCTTGAGCCTAGCATGGAAGGGAAACCTTTCCTTTCCTGCAAAATAAAGCTGAACACAGATTCACCCCCAAGCAACCCGCTCTGACCCCTGCACTCTGCTGCCCTCGGTGGTGGTGGT